CACCTGGAGAGGGCTTGGTGATTTCTGTAGTGAAACCTGGGTAGGAAGTTCCCATGAAAGCTTTGCCCAAACACTGCTCTAACAGAATCGCCCACTCCTGACTGGAATGAGAGAGAAGAAGGTGGCTCTCTGCTTGTCTGTTTAGCATATGCAAATCATCCCTGTCATTGTCCACCTGGATTTCAAGCAGGGGCATTGACAAAAGAAGAAGAGCAGAAAGCCACTAGCAATTACTCATTATGTAGAGGCTCTGATTTTCATAATGTTAATGAAGACCCTGTTGCAACTGTGTATTTATTCAAGTAGTAATAAGCAAGACCACCAGGGGTTTATTGCGACCACTTCATGCAATTCTTAATCCCCAAGCTTGGAGGTCATCACAGAGATTACAAAGCAGAACTGATGCCAATGCAAGGAGTTCTTTCTTTTTTAAAATATGTATGGTAGTTTTAATTGATGCAGAATGTTCAACAAAAGGCATAACCGAGGTACTAATTCCATGTTCTCTGGTTCTTCCCTTCCTAGTTGGTGCAGTTTATCAGTGTCATAATTAGGAAAGGGAGCTATTACTGTGGTTGACAGTCCAATTTGCTTGTCATTAGATCAGTCTCCCTAAGGACAGCCCTTTCTATTATAGAATCTTAGTTTTGTATATCAAATCCAAGGTAAGAGTTTGGGGACAGAGGTTTGTAGTTTGTACCCTTTCCATTTATATTGTGTTGTTGAGCACTGTACTTATCCTTGTAGATAGATGCTAACATTTTGAAGCTAGAAAAATGTTCACTAACTTTCCCCTACTTCCTGTGTTATGGGGTTGATGTGCATACTATCTGTAGTTGAAAAAGAAAACTTCATGCTTTATTCCTACTTCCCATTTTGATTAAAATTCTCTTTCGCTCTCAGTCAGATTTTTTTTTAGAAGGAAAAGGGCACCAGATTTCCTTTCAGTCCCTGCAGCTCTGCTTATTTTGTGTGGCTCTTTTCTATCGTCCAAGTGTAGGACATGGATTCCTCAATTTTCTGTAGCAACAGAGAGATGTGGATATGAATGTAAATGNAGGGCTATCACAACCCTCAGCCCAGAGATGCATGTATTTCAATTGAAGGTTGATATTAGCAAAGTTTATTGTGGTAAAGATCATTTATTTAGTGAAATGATTTTAAAGACTGTCTACAAAATAAATAGTGAACATTTTAAAAATTAGCACATGCTTTAAAACCATTCCCTCCGCCCACCTCGTGCTCCTGACTTAGATTCTGTTGATCAGTTCTGTCTGGTGGATAAAAGGAGATAAGGGCTGGATTTGCACAGGGCCTAGAACAAAAGAGAAGACAACTTGTATGGTTGTGAGTTCTGCCTAAGCAGCATCTGCAGGATTTATGAGCCCTGGAAGGTGCCAAGCCAGAGGTTAACCCTTTCTAGAATTTTCCAAGGGAGACTAGGATTTAAATTTGTGCCTCTGACTCCTGGGTCATGCTATTGTCCTTTTCTGGCACATGCTGTGCCCCCAACAAATGTTTGTTGAATGAGTAGATGAGTGAATGAATGAACAGTGTTGCTGAGTTACCTGAGTAAGCTGGGCCTTCTTTTGGAATACCCTTTTTCTTATTGCTTAAAGGAAAGATGTAACTCCTGTGCCTTTCCCATGGATTAAGGCAATGAATCTTTCCTTGAATGAGAGCATGGAAAGGATCATGCCAAGAGTTTAGCCTGGATTCAACCTGAATCCTTGGAACCCTTGGAACCCTAGCTTCACCACTGAGTTGCTGAGTGACCTTGGATGAGTTACTCAATTTCTCTCAAACCTCAGTTCCTCACTTATCAAGTGAGGGCAACAATATCTACCCCATAAGGTTCTTTTGTGGATTAAATGGTATAATGCAAGTCAAGTGTTTAGCCCAATGCCTGGCACAGAGGATAAGTGCTCAGTAAATGTTGGCTCTAATGTCATTATTCCCCAGGACAGTTCCTTCGGCGAGGGGAGGTGTTTTGGGATGACCTGAACTGCACCATCAAGTGCCGCTGCCTGGATTTCAACAATGAGATCTACTGCCAGGAAGCCTCTTGTAGCCCCTATGAAGTGTGCGAACCGAAAGGCAAATTCTTCTACTGCAGCCCCGTGGAGACCAGTACATGCGTGGTGTTTGGGGAGCCTCACTATCACACTTTTGATGGCTTCCTGTTTCACTTCCAAGGGTCCTGTGCCTACCTGTTGGCACGGCAATGTTTGCAGACTTCCAGCCTCCCCTTCTTCAGTGTGGAGGCCAAGAATGAACACCGTGGGGGCTCAGCTGTCTCCTGGGTGAAGGAGCTCTCTGTGGAGGTGAATGGCTACAAGATTCTCATTCCCAAAGGAAGCTATGGAAAAGTCAAGGTGAGACCCTCTCCATCCTTCATAGGGAGATGGAGAAGCTCGGGAGTCTTCAGCCTAGGGAAGACTTGCCTAGATCTACTGGTTCTACTATTTGCTGTTTGTATCATAGAGATGCATGGCA